CGATGCAGTCCCGTCACCTACACAAGTTGGTGGCACCACCAGTGAATGTGAGCTGGAAGTCGGCAGCACCAGTTTCATGGATTGTACGATTGGACCGATTGTACAGTGGGATTCTTGCCAAAGCAACCAACGGTATTTTGCACAAATCGAAAGTCAAGCTTGCTTTGGAGGCCTGCCATGCGAAAAGTTCGATTAATGCTACGAAGCTGGAGGACTCCGCCCTCATCGATTCCGTGTCCGAGAACATCCGTATGGGCCTATCCCATTTGAGGTCATTGAAATGTGACCGTGGACTTCTTGATCGTGCCCACCGCAGGTTCAGCGACAGCGAGATGAGAGTCATCAGCGATTTGGCTTTTAATCGGCGCTTTTCCGTTTCGGGATTCCTATTGCAACCGTTTACTTTTGTTTGGTATACTGAAGAATAAGCCATCCCCGAAAAACGAGGCAAGCTCTTGGCTATGATGAAAGATGTGGAGCCGGCTATGAGCACCCAGAATTCGTTTGGCAGCAGCGGCGGCGAAACAACGAGTGCGGCTGCTGGTGGTACTACTACTACTACTGTTGCTGCTCAGGCCGACGAGTCGCCCCCCACCGAGGAGCCAGAGACGGATAATCCGATGCAGATGCTGGACCAGATTTTGGGTGCCCATCCGATTCGGTCGTCTTCTGAGGAGCACGACGAGGACGAGAAGAATGCAGACGATGATGCGAGCTCCGATGGCTTCGTGGTGCCAGGGCTCAGGATTTTTGGTGGTGCTACTAAGGGGCGGGGTAGCGAGCACAGGGTGCTGAGAGAGGCGTCTTCGGCGGAAGCTGCCTCATCAACTGCTGCAGGCCCAACTATCCAGGAGATTTTTGAGGAGGAGCCGGCAGCCGAGAAGACCGAGAAGAAGAAGGCGAAGATGAAGAAGAACACCGTGGACAAGCAGGTGTGGGTTTCGAGCTGGAAATAACAATAATACCCGAACAAGACCCTAGAGGATGATGACGATGATGATGACGATGATTTTTTATTGTGGTTGTTCGTGCTCCTTTTCGTCGTGGTAAAGCTTCGAGTCATCCCTGCAAAAAAACAATTCCTAGAGTGCACAGATGCCAAGAGCGAATACAAAGTCGCGAGTTGTTGCATGGTAGTACCACGAGGGATGCTACGATGGTGTATCCTTTCTTGCTTTCGTGCCTCGAGTGTATAAGAATAGAAACCGATGGTCCATCGGAGCCAAATACAACAAGCCTTACTTCTTTTGCAAATATTATTTGGAGAAGGCTGGGGCCAACGAGCGAACAGGGACCAAGAAGTCGACTCCATCGTCGGCTTCGGCGGCCAAGAACAAGAAGCCTGTGCTCATGGATGCCTCTGAGGAGGATTTGCTTCGACGGATTCGAAGCAAGACGAGGCCCGCCAATGAGGATGAGAAGGCTACTTTGAGGAAGACCTACAACCAAGCCGTGAAGAAGAAGCCGAGTGCAAAAGAAACCAAGGGTTCAAGCGAGAAGCCGACGAAGGCCAAGAAAGGCAAGCATCCCGACGAGCCGAAGGAGGCACCGAAAAAAAGGCCGGCTGGCATCCTGAAGAGGGGCAAGAGCACTATTTTCGATGATGGGACATTGGCGGGCAACAAGCCAAAACAGCCGATGAAGAAGCAGCGACAGATCGCGGAGGACAGCAGCGGGGTTCTTTGAGCTGAGTTTCAGAGTCATGTTTGTTTTGCTGCGGAATCCACTACTCAAGTTGAGTATTTGAGAAACAATATGAAAAGCCACAACCTCGACTATCTTCATATCTAAAACCCAGAAGCTTGTATCTGTATTTCTAGGACCCGCAACAGCATTCCTGATTGGGTTTTGCACTTTCTTGCATGTTCGGCAACAACAACAACAACGACATACCTCCAAAAAGATAACCCCCTAAACCCCTAAACCCTTAGTCTTTTCCTACATCATCATCCACATTATTATAGACTGAAGCCCCATTCTTGTTTAACATAGAAAATTCGTGCAAGGCTGTGGATGATCAGCAGGCAAACGATGAGCAGGCTTCCCATGGCAGCCACGAGTGGTGGTGGTGGGACGAGTCCTGGTGCGAGGAGTCTCCCGAGGAGGAGGCCGATGGCTTCGAGGATGACCCCATCCTGGAGGAGGATGGTCGTGCCAACGATGAATACGAGGACGAGGAGAAGAAGGACGGCAAGGGCGAGAGGAATGATGGGGTGGAGCAGCCATCACGATCTGTGCTGCGACACCGGGCCGTGACAAGTGCATACAGAAAGGCCTTCGATGTGCACAAGCCGAAAGGCGACCAAAAGAATGATCCCACATTGCTGGCGGCAGCTCGTGGGAAAGCCAAAGAAGCCCATCACGAGGCAGGGAAATGCTTCGATGCAAAGTACCCGAGGAAGTGAGACGAGCACCTGGGGATGAACCCTGGTGGCAGCAACCTCCTGCTGTGGACGATATCGGATGATTTTGGTGGCGGCTTATCACGATTCAACAGTGACCGGTCGTCGCACCACATCCGAGTTTTGATGGCTGACGACAACCACCAGAAGCCCAAAATAGCTATGTGCGATTGAGGGTCTGCTTGAGTGATCAGACATTTAGGAGGTCGGAAACATACATGTCGCAGCTCGAGAGCTTTGGTTTTCGATCATGATCAGCCAGCCAAACATCGAAGTTTGGTCGAAGTTTCGTCGAAACTTCGACTTAGCACAAGCCGCAGTTTGGTCGAAGTTTGGCCGCTGTTTGGTCGCAGTTTAAGTTGTGTAAGTCGAAGTTTCGACTTATCTTTGCACACTTACTCGAGAGGTAACACTATTGATATATCAAAACTTCGACTTAGCCTATCTAAAACTTCGACTTAAACTTCGACTTAGTAAGTCGAAGTTTCGACGAAACTTCGACCAAACTTCGATATACGGTGGTCGTACGGGGTCGAAGTTTCGAAGAAGTTTCGAGTAAAGTTCGGTGTGCCAAATCGGAGTTTCAGCGAAGTTTGTGCAGTGATGATTGTATATGGATGACAATAATGGATGACTTGCCGCCTTCTCCTGCCATCGAAGCTTTTTGAGAGTTGCGACAGGCTTCTTATTGACTCCCATCCTTGTTCGGCTCCTCCTCTCCTGCTGCACAACAACAATGATGAAGCGACCCTCGGCTGCTGTTGTTATGAAGAAGAAGAGCAAGAAGATTTTCATCAAGAAGAACAGCAAGCCCGGCAAGAGTGGTGGCCCAGTCATCAAGAAGAAGCCCGGTGCCGGGCCCACGACATTGAAGGATGCCGTCGAGGGCATCAAGAAGTCGTCCATGGACAAGGACAACATGTGGGACGACCAGTCGGCCGAAGAGGACAACGGTGCGGGCTCATCCACGGACTCGAAGAGAGACAAAGGGAAAGCGGAAAAATTCACGAAGATGAGGTTGGCAGGGAGTTTACCACCATATGTGGTTGACTTGTATGATAATGCTGCCAACCAGAAAGAATCCCCTCGCCAATTCCGCACGGAGATTATCAACACCTTGTTCAAGAGGAACCCCAAGACCGGGCGGTACAGCTTGATTGACGACCAGCCGTTATTCACCGAGGCGAAACGAGTTTGGGAGAAAAAGTTCGGCACCGATGGCAAGGAGAGCTACACCAAGCTCGTCATGCGAGGACTTTTCTTCGGAAACTCGGAGTCAGTGCCATGTCTCAACAAAGCAATGTTTTTTCTTTTGTTAAAATACACTCGGGGACTACACCCACTAAGGTTTTAGAACTGTATTATTCGCGAAAAGAAACCTGAGCCCTAAACCTTACATCCTTAAACAACCTCGAGCCGAAACCGCTCTGCTTCTGCTACATTCCTATTACACCCACTAAGGTTTCAGAACTGTATTATTCGCGAAAAGAAACCTGAGCCCTAAACCTTATATCCTTAAACAACCTCGAGCCGAAAGCACTCTGCTTCTGCTACATTACTAATACACCCACAAAGGTACTAAAGCTGTATTATTCGCGAAAAGAAACCTAAGCCCTAAACCTTACATCCTTTAACAACCTCGAGCCGAAACCGCTCTGCTTCTGCTACATTCCTAATACACCCACTAAGTTTTAGAACTGTATTATTCGCGAAAAGAAACCTGAGCCCTAAACCTTACATCCTTAAACAACCTCGAGCCGAAAGCATTCTGCTTCTGCTACATTACTAATACACCCACAAAGGTACTAAAGCTGTATTATTCGCGAAAAGAAACCTAAGCCCTAAACCTTACATCCTTTAACAACCTCGAGCCGAAACCGCTCTGCTTCTGCTACATTCCTAATACACCCACTAAGTTTTAGAACTGTATTATTCGCGAAAAGAAACCTGAGCCCTAAACCTTACATCCTTAAACAACCTCGAGCCGAAAGCATTCTGCTTCTGCTACATTACTAATACACCCACAAAGGTACTAAAGCTGTATTATTCCCCAAAAGAAACCTGAGCCCTAAACCTTACATCCTTTAACAACCTCGAGCCGAAAGCATTCTGCTTCTGCTCCATTTGTCGTCATAACAATAATAACAACACCGCAACGATGATGCTAGCCTTAATAAACGAAAACAACCCTTAAACCTTGTTATTCCACTCTTTCTTTATCCCCGAACCAACAACAGCCCTGAAAACTGCAACACCTGAAAAAAAACTATCCCTGTGCTGCTGGTGCTGGTCGTTGCTACTGTGGTTGTTGTTGTGATCGCTGTTGCTGCTGTTGTTTGTTGCTGCAGCTGAGGCTATGAATGCAGCAATTGAGGCTGGAGAGGTCACCGAGTTCAAGTCCAAGGACGGAACGTGTTTCTACTCATTCCGCAAAATGACAGCTGGTGTTGAAACCGGACAAGAGAGCAGCCTGGGCTACACGAAGCAGGCCAAGGGCACCCAGCAGCAAGCGGACATGCTGGAGGCAATGTTCGACAAGCTCGATTGGAGCATGCCCTACAAGGGTACCGATGCCCTGGTGGTTGAGCCTGGCAAGAAGCTGCCGAAGCCCATGGCGGCCTTCTTGGAGAAGGCGGTGGCCACACAGATCCGCTTGGGTGGCGAGACCATGAGGCTCTTGAAGAAGCTACCCGACATCTTTTGTATAACATGATGTTTGATGTTTACAACACCGCAGGGAAGAATCCTGAACTGTCCCGTGTCGTAGGATAGACAAAAGGGGGTCTTGTTTGCTGATTGCCATGCACAATCCAGGCATGTTATTATCTTCTTGGTCAGAACTACATCACAACCCCTCACTCAAAAGTATCTCTCAAAGTAGCCCTCCAAGTGTCGCTGAGTTCTCGAAACACTTCATCGAAGTTACCCAGGTCTCGTTCAAAGTAGCCCTCCAGGAAACTACTCCACATATCATCCCGCCGTTTCGCTGCCGTCACAACCCATCATCCATCATCACTCCAAGTATCCCTCCAGGCATCCCTCCAAGAAAAGGGTTTTAGGGTTTTGTTTGGGGTGTATTGGAGGTTTTAGGTTTCGGTGTTTTGAGGTTTGTGGGTTTAGCCCTATTACTAATAAAGCTCGCGACAATCTTCCAAATTATGCTTGACTGAGGCTTCCTCAGGAGTCGTCGGACGTGTATGACAAGCTCAAGAAGGCCTACGTTGAGAGCCAGAAGATGCTCGGCGAATGCCGCCATATCCTGGCCTGGAAGGAGATGCCTGATTCGCAACCTGTTTCAAAAGACAATTTCGACAAGTTCATGACATTTGTCGCCAAGCAGACGTTGGCCCACCACGAGTTGCTCGCAAACGGCAAAGCCGTTGTCAAGGCCACAAAGTGAGATCGCGATCTTCGTATGTCGAGCCGTGTCGTGGATGATTCTCTGGAGTGCTGGCTACTTCCGGCTTGTTTTCAAAGCCTTACACAGGACTTATAATGGGTTTAGATTTATTGGGTCGGGGCTCCTGGGGCAACCAATTATTATTTGACAGCTAGCTGCACAAGGGGGGGGGTCGTCCATGACGATTTTGGGCTTTCTCTGATCTCGCACTCGTGCTTTCGTGAGTTGGACAAAAAAAGCGCGAACAGAGACAGTGCCGAAGCTTATTATGGCGAAAACTTCACCAACAACTACTATATAAGAAGCTTTCTATATATTCATATTCAGAGAGGGGTTCTTGAGTGCAGGATTAGTATTATGATTGGAATAGCTATCATAATAATCGTGTCAGGCATAAAATTACACTATCCAGAAGAAGAATGCAAACAAAGAGGGATTCCTGGAGTGTATAAACATAATAATCAGAACGAGAATCAGAGGTAGTATCATAAATATGCGAGGATGATCCTTCTCAGTGCAATTCCGAAGATGCCCTTTGCCGATGCTCAGGCTTTGTTGACGACACTAATAAAGTAGCCATAAAAAAAGTTCACCGACAAAACCCTATCCCGAAATGAACAGGCATCAACAAAGATCCCCGACGAGACCCCATCCCCAGCGACCTTGATGTCGAGTGATACTGTTATTTATTGCAGCAGTTATTGGTCCTATTATTCGATAAAACATGCGACTACTATCTGCTACGACTATATACAGCACAAATGAGATTACTACGTGCCACGAAAATGTCCTAGGACCGGCAGGTGGTGTGTAGGAGTGATGGCTGGCAGGGGTTTTTCTGGTCACCAGAAGAAGAGGCATTCATCCCCGGCAGCAGCATCGTCAGGAGGAGCGAAAAGACTCCGAGGTGGTATTCGGCAAAGACTACGAGCAGCTGGAGCTTATGTGCCTGCTTCATATGAGGAGGGCATCGCAACCACCGATGATGATGATGATGATTTTGTTCCTCGCGGTGGGGAGCTGCCGCCCTCGGATGCAGATACGAGGACCAAAGCTGTGAGCCCCAACTCTCGTTTGGGCCGGAAGCTTTTGGAGTTGTTCTGCTGGGGCGATATGAGCCCACAGCTTTTACAGAGCCTTGCTGAAGCCGCAAGGCAAGATATCCACTCAACTTTGCAGGAGCACGGTGAGGAGCCGACCTCATCCACTTCCCAGTGCCTTCGAGATATTACACAACTGGCTAGCATAGGCTCCTATGGGAAGTTCAGCAACAAGTGCTACAGCGACCTTATGAGGCGGGTGGAGCCGAATATTGCCGTCGCCGAAACATACAAAACCAAGCTCCACTTTGCAAACCCCGCAGGTGAACATACACAAGAGGTATTGTTACCTCATGAGCTGTTCGCTTCAATGTTCGAGCATGAGAATGAGGCTTTCTTTCGCAATGTAGCCAGCGACGAGGGTACACGTACAAAGTTCTGGGATCGCATGCGATCTCACTCCCACCCGGCTTGGGAAAATCACCCGCTGCTGCATCGCAACATCAAAAAGGCGATTCCTATTTCGGTTCACGGCGACGAGGTTCCCATCGCTGGGATTGGAAAGCAGTGGTCCAAGAAGCTCGTCAACGTGTCATGGGCAAGCTTGCTGGGCAAGACTGAAACGAAGTCGACACAGTTCTGGTCGATGGGACTGGTAGAGAAAACCGATGTTAAGAATGGCCCGTATGCCACTATGCGAAACCTCTGGAAGATTTTGGCATGGTCATTTACTGCTCTCTGGTCTGGGCTATGGCCGTTGACCGACCACAAGGGCAACAGGCACAGAAGACAAAATTCGTATGTTTGATTTGTTCCTTCAGTCTTATTGATAATCGCCCTGCCACCTTGCCTGATCCCAACTAGAGGTTTTCGTCATGTGAATATTTATAGTATTCTCAACCACTCTCTCTCTCTCTCTCTCTCGCTCTCTCGCTCTGCCTTCATTTTGAAGTTCAAAGCAGTCGCGACATGAGGTTTCCCGAAGGCTCGATCCAACTCGAGCGAGCTGGAACACCACTAGCTGGTGGGTTTTTTGGAGTGGTTTGGTCGCTGATTGGCGATTTAGATTATTTTACACAGTTTCTGCAGCTACCAAACTACAACAACAAGAGCATGCCGTGCAGCATGTGCCGGACGACATTGAGTGGACTTACGACTTGGAGCAACTTTCAGGTTGGGGCTGCATGGCGAGGAACGATGTGGCGACCAGATGCCTGGCATGCTTGGGCTGGACGAAGCCGCAACCCTATATTTTCGATTCCTGGTGTGTCTGCATGCAACATTTGTGCAGACTACATGCACTGTAAGTTCTTGGGGACGGATGCCGTCCAATTCGGATCTGTGATGTCTTTCCTTGTCTTCGAGGTCATGAATGAAGGAAGTCCAGAAGACAACTTAGCAGCCTGTTGGCGATTCATTCGCGAGTATTATCGGATGCATCAAACAGCTGTGAGGTTCAGATCGATGAGCCGTTTAACCATGTTCGTACGAAAAACCGGTGGGCCAAAGCTCCGAGGAAAAGCAGGCGAACTGCGATATTTTGGGGAGGTGCTGTTGGCACTATGGACAACATATTGCAGTAATGAGCTTGAGCTTCACAAGAAGATCACACTTCTCTTGAAAAGTAACGTTTTCATGGAAAGGAAGCTGACGGAGACGAAGGGCCAGACTTCGATGGAGGACGAGGATGCTGATGAGCTTAATCAAGCATGCTCCGATATGCTGGTACTTCAGAGTGATCTTGCGAGGCACTTTGCAGAGCACGGCAAACTGTACTTCACTCTAACTTCGAAAGCACACCAGCTACAGCATGCCTGTCTGCTCGCATCTGTCTTAAATCCCAGAACCGTCCCTTGTCGGCAGACGAGCATCATAATAACAAGCATTGTCACCTTTTTCAAGCATAATTACAATAAGAACGTGTGCTAAAACACGTGGAAGTGAAACCTTGAGGTATGGGCATTTGTCGGCGAGGACCTCCAACAGAAGGTGCAGCGACTCGCTTCCATGTCCCTGAAGGGGAATGTTGGGCCTTATGCTGTCAACAAGATGCTCAGACGTTACCGGTTGGCCCTGAGCATGATCTGGCGAGATCAAAGGACGAATGCCTAAGGCATTCTTCTGGCGAGATCAGAGGACGAATGCCTAAGGCATTTTCGTGAGCACGAGGCTTGATCGGAGCAAAAAGAAGAACACTGGAAGGATCTGTAGAAAGCATTGTAGGGTTGGGGCTTTGGGATTTATCCTAAGGTTGTGGCTTTCGCCAGGGTTTGTGAAGTCGAGTGCTAGCGATTGTTGGGGTTGGAACAGCCAACAACAACTCCAACGACAACAACACCAGCACATCCTCTCCTGGTTGCTTTCTTCAACAGTACTTTTTTTTGCTGCCCTCTCAGCAACCCTCTTGCAACCCTCCTCACTCGAAGTAGCCCTCTTGTAGCCCTCCTCACTCGAAGCAGCCCTCTCAGCAACCCTCTTGCAACCCTCCTCACTCGAAGTAGCCCTCTTGTAGCCCTCCTCACTCGAAGCAGCCCTCTTCTAGCCCTTCGTGAAGAAGAAGCTGTAATATGACGGTACTACTACTTCGCTGAGGGATACTTGGAGTGAAAACTTTGCATGGCCGACCGAAGCACAGCTACTCGGACTCTCGTTTCTTGAGGAAGAATCGTTGTGTTGCTGTGGACTGGATTTCCTGTTGAAAAAATGGTAACAAAAGTGATCGCAACACACCCCAGAAAAATCTGAAGAATTCCCTTTCTTCCTGGTAGTAAGATCAGACAAAAAGAAACCTTGAGAAGGATCGCAGCACACCAGAAAGATCTGAAGAGTTATCTTCCCTGCTAAAATCAGCAGACAAAAAAAGAAACCTTGAGAATGATCGCAGCACACCAGAAAGATCTGAAGAATTACCTTTCTTCCTGCTAAGACCAGACAAAAAGAAACCTAGGGAAGGATCGCAGCACACCAGAACGATCTGAAGAATTACTTGTCCCGGTAAGATCAGACAAAAAAAGAAACTTTGAGAAGGATTGCAGCACACCAGAAAAATCTGAAGAATTACCTTTCTTCCAGCTGCTAAGATCAGACAAAAAGAGACCTTGAGAAGGATCGCAGCACACCAGAAAGATCTGAAGAATTACTTTTCCTGCTAAGATCAGACAAAAAACCTTGAGAATGATCGCAGCACAACACCAGAAAGATCTGAAGAATTACCTTTCCTGCTAAGATGAGACAAAAAAACCTTGAGAATGATCGCAGCACACCAGAAAGATCTGAAGAATTACCTTTCCTGCTAAGATCAGACAAAAAGAAACCGAATGATCGCAGCACACCAGAAACATCTGAAGAATTACCTTTCGTTTAGGGTTTAGGGCTGAGGGGTTTAGGGTCTAAGATCAGACAAAAAGAAAACCTTGAGAATGATCGCAGCTCGCCAGAAACATCTGAAGAATTGCCTGTCAAGTTAATAATAAGATCAAACAAATCCTGGAAAATGCAACCCGAAGTTTGCCCGAAGTTTGGTCGAAGTTTGCTCTTGGGCAACCCGAAGTTTGGTCGAAGTTTGCTGTGGGGTGTTTGTGCCGGGAACCCGAAGTTTGGTCGAACTTTCCGCCGGCCAGAAACTAACTATAGTTAGTTTCCGGGGGGAAAAAACTAACTATAATAGTTAGTTTATGGTGGCGCCGACAAAAACTAACTATAGACAGATTTTTGTCTATAATAGTTAGTTTATGTCTCTCGTTCACAACCTACGAAAACTAACTATAGACAAAAAAAATAAGATATAGTGTAGACAAAAAAAATTTAACTATATAGTTAGTTTTTCGGCTCGCGGCAAAAAACAGTCTAGGATAGTCTTAGGGGTTTCTTTGAGAAGCGATGTCACAGCTCTGATCAAGACAGACAGAAGCTTGCCATGCACAATCAAGACTTGTCAGGTTTTTTCGTGAGCATTCCAAGGGAGCGGTTCATGATTACCTTTCGCATATTGCTTTGTCGTTTCTACGACGTCTCGGATGCGGATCTTGATCATTCCTTGAAAGGCGTTGTGGTGACTGTGGACTTGGAAAACAACATGTCGGTTATGAAAACTATCCGTGGTCGGCATTGCCTGTTGAATGACAAACGAGTTGCCGTCCCAATGGACCTATTTCTGGAGGCTGTACAAGTGTCTTTCAAGTTCAATCTATTCATGGTGGGTCAGCAGGCCATTCAACAAATCCGAGGTGCACCGATGGGAAGCCATTTCTCTCCGGCAGCTTGCCATGCCGTGGTAAGCCTATACGAGCACATGTACTTTGGAAAATGTCTGTTAGAGTCTTCTCGCTTGCCAACCTTCGGCCTTGTGGTTCGATACGTGGACAATCGGATGAGCTTGATTCTTGATCGCCAGGCCAACTATGCTGCTGTGCAAGCGTTTCTGCACCAGGATGTATACATACCGCCCATCGTACTTGAGTATGAGGATGGAGATCTTTTCTGGGGTTTTCATGTGGATGTACAGGAACTACGAGTACAGTATGTCCAACCTGTTGAGACCTGGAAGTTCTTACACCCCAACTCTGCCGCCAACACACGGACACTGTTAAGCAGCTTTCGATCCAGAGCTCACTTGATTGCACGTGCCTCTTGGCCGTTGGAGCAACGTGAGGCCGATCTTGATCAGCTTCTACAGTCCTATGTACGACAGGGATTCGATCCGTTGATGATGTACCCCATTCTGAAACGTGTTAGGCTACAGTTTAACAATCTTCGCGCTCGCCCGACTGCAGTTTAAACAGACTTTGCCTTCGTTGTTGCCCGCGCTTGCACAGTGTCTCAGTCCATGTGCCATTGAGCTGGTTGCTTGCCATGTATCCTTTGCTCGAGAGCTTTTGTGCCTTGTATATTCTGTAGCTTCCTGTAAACTCGACAATGTCCGCGGAAGACAGTCTCAATTTGTTCCCGAAGTCCTCGGGCCCTCCTGGCCCTGTAAGTGGCTCCGTGGACATGTATATTCGAAAGAGGGTTGCACAAGAGGTGAACCGAGCCCTTGCACCGCCAGACACACTTCCAGAATGGGCACAGCCGACCGGAAGCGCTTCCGGAGGCCGCCGCGCTCTTCCTGCTCCACCTGCTTCCTTCTTCTTCGACTCCTTCGCTCCCTCAAGTACATGTGGATGCCGCGGTTCCCCGAGCTCCTCCCCCGTCGCCTTTTCTGACTCTCACTGAAGGTAGTGGATCTTCGGCCCAGTCTATTCAGATTCATGACGAAGGTATGGCAAATCGGGTTATTGAAAGCCTGACCTCTGTTCGGTTGTTTGGCAATAATCGGGACGATCGTTCAAGGAGCCCGGTTTTGAAGCCGTGCCCGCCTCTCCCAAGAAAGCGTCGTCAGCTGGCCGGTGATGAACGCCTACCTATTGAAGACAAGCCGTCATCTTCTGCTCAGCTTGCTATTGTTGACGCCAGCCTTGACAAGTATGCAGTCCCGGATGGACCGGAGCTTCCAGCTCCCTCGACTGAATGGGTTTGTGTTCAGCCCTCTTCAGGACCACCGATCTGGGTCCAATTTCTGGAGCCTACAAAGTTGGACAGGCCTGATGTTCAACACTCGATGTGGCCCCAGTTCTATACCATTCGGACTGTTGCAGGAATGAATGTGTGGAATTTCGATCCCACCACCTCCGAAAAAGAAAAGAAGAAGCATTGGTCTGAAATTGAACGGGTGTTGTTACATTACCGGACTACAATCATGAAGGACGTCAATCGTATCAAAAGTGCGGCTGAAATTGTTGTTCCAGTCCTTCCGACTGGACCCTTTGATCTCCAGGAGAGATGGATAGCTACCATTTTGGCAGGAGCCGACCATCATGCCAACTACTCATGGTCGGATGCCCAGGATTACTTTGCTATGGGCCCGGATGCCAAAAAGCAAATTCAGAGCCTCGCCCGTATTCTATCATCCGTGTCTCGCCTTCGTCCGTTTGTTCGAGAAGATCTCCAGGCCGGCCGTGGATCTTATTGGTTGTTCCCGGGAAACACGGACCCGGACACGGGCCTTGCTGATGATGGTTCACATGAAGCTCCGCAGGGAGTTTTCCTTATTTCAACAACGAGGCTTCCGGATGATCCTGCCACCTGTTTCGCTGTGCCCTTTGTTCACAACACAGTCCCTCAGGATTTGGCCTCGATCATCAATCAGGAAGTTGTGAGACCATCATTCTTCGACAGGGCGGACCGCACATGGGTCCCATCTACCGGCTTTTATGGCCGCATGTCTTGGCCGAAACCTGCTATTCGGCTTCCAAAGCTTGACGGATCCCAGCCGGAGCACTTGATCGCTATGAGAAATTCGATGTTGGGGGCTCGCCGCTTCGGAGGAAAGCAAGTTGATTCTCGCACATGTGCGGCGCTAGGTTGGACCTTTGTGAGGCAACACAATCATTTCAAGGCTGTTAACGCCTCCGATCAAACATTCGGACATTTCGGCGATTTGATTCACAGCCAGGATGGTCGTTGGATGTTTCGTTCCAGTCGGAGTGTCTTAGTCGGCACTGCTGTCTTTTGGACATCTGATGCATAAGTGACCGCTGTTGCCTCCTCACCCCCGGATGTCTTCGCTTGTTTTCTTCCGGCTACAGAGTGAATAAGATCAATCGCTTGCCCACATTCTGAGTGTTGCACTCCGCCGTGGACCGTACGCTTGAAAACTAAACAGTCCGGATGCTAGGGTTTGCAGTCTCAAGTTGCTAATGCATTGCAGCGACCTGTGCATCATTTCGTCTTGAGTGCCGAACTTTTGCTCAGTCCCATGTCAACATGACGACCATAGAGCGTAGCCCTTTTGATGTAGATGCGGATGGTTTCAATTTTCAGTCATTGGATGAGTTGGCTGCCTATCTATTCCGTATTCTTGATGGTATTCCTCGACGGATGTGGTTGAGTTA